TAATATTAGATACATTGGGGCGAAACCAAAGTTTTAGGGTGAGAAACCTTACCACTGTGGTCTAATAGATGGATTAGTGCTAAAGTGACTCCTTTTCATACCTATAACCTCCTTGTAATTATCAGCCCGATCGATCCCCCTAACATTGATCTCTTTTTGTATTATATGCATTTTACTCTGTCACAAAGCTTAGGATGATAAAACGATTTCCCGGACATGATATTTTGAGTACTATTAAGCAAGCTGTCAAGACTGTTTGTTTAGGAAGAAATGGTTTAGCTCATTAATCTAGTTATCCCAAAATTGTGCTGCCTTCTAAGATTACTCTAGTTTCAGCATTCCTAGACCCCAATACTGCTGATATTAGGGCTGTTTAGGAACAGACTTAAAAGCTACAAATTGTCGAATGGAGGCAAGCATCTCTCACCTTACATTTGCACAAGGTTTCTTCACTAAGTAACACTGTCTCTTTTAATAAATCGCTACCCTCCTGAAATAATTCTCAAATTCCTATGGAGGCAGCTTTCAGGGGTCATTGTTTTGAAGTATTCTATTTGCTTAATTCACTCCTTAATACACCTGATTCGAGAGCGGCCCGCCATGCCTTGAAATTAATATATATTCTGCAACTATTTTTTTAGATCGTTTGGGTAGTTAAGATAAATCCCAGGCAAGTCAAAGAATGCAGACTACACTGAAACATCGATTAAATGGTATATTAAGTGTGATTTCTTGAACTTTTACAAATTAAATAATTCTCATGCTGATTGAATTGTAGTCATATATAAGCTTTAGTTCAATTCTACTATCTATTGTCATACTAGGAACCAGATTCTTAGTTTTGGGCTACTTTGGCTATGAATTATCCTTACAAAGTGTAGGCAAGTATATTCAATGTTCATTTAATGCTTTTTCAATACTCATTTTGTACTGAATTCAACAGTAGTCATGCTGTGTACAAGTTGATGAAGAACTGATAGAGGAATCTTCCTATAATCATTAGGCCTCATAATGCCTTTTTATTTAATTTTTTCTTGCTTACCAAGCGATATTCTCATCCAGGATGGACTGTAGTTTCTTGATCACCTTCTTCGACTTAGGGTTACTGCAGTTTCGATAGTATCGAAAGCCCCTTACTATGGATCTTAGTAACGTTTCGATTTTAATGGCAAATATAAGTTTGCTTCATGGAAAACCCTCTATAAATCTAATATGAGAGAGGTCTGGTTTGCCTCGAGATTTCGTCTGTCCATTCACCCGCGAGCAGCCGTGGCTATATGTCGTAGTTGTGTAGTATCGCCACTTTACGCACTCGAATCGGATTCGACTCCTGTTGCGGGTTCGGATCATTCAAGCGAGTGTGAAAATGCATAATATTCTGAATGAAAATCCCTTGTTAGACAAGACTAAGTGAAATTCAATGGCGTCCTGAGGCCAACTCAAAACATTGTAGAAGTATTTATTTATCAGTCCTTCATCAACTTTTACAGCCTAGAATGACCACAGTTCTGTTTAAAACTCTACCGATAGCATCAAAACCTACCATGAATTCATAGTTTACCCATAAATCCAGATTGCATGTTGTTTACTAGCAGAGTTATTGCAGCTAAGCAATGGTTCAGGAATGTTGGATTTTCAGAATGCATGGCTAAACTAACTGAGCTCTTCAATTCTCTGTCAATATATTGCTTTAATTTACTAAAATTCTTTGGCCTTTTTTATTTTCTCTGAGTCTTATGCCTTATTTATCCATTTGCATCTATCTTTCAGGAGAATCGGCGCCTTCTCAAATGTTTTCTGCAGTCATGCTTCTCACGAGCCCAAACTGCAAGCTGTGCCGGAAAATCCTTAGGTTGTCCTATTAAAAGCGTAGGTATACCTCAGTTACCTGTCTATCCCTCTGTTCGAGGGCATGCTCTGTCGACTTTTGGAGCCGATTACTCTGAGGTCATTTCCAGCCCCTCCAGAAAGAGAGTACGTAAATCTAATGATTGTTGCTGCCCCTTCATAGTTAAGGGATCGATAGCGATGCCAGAGCCGAGTCAGAATTTGGGTTCTGGCGACGAACCGCCAAACTACACCTACAACAGTCAACTGACAGATTCTGACCGAACCGACAGCAAGTTAGTCGACGAGACCCTGAATGCATCGAATAACATGACTTCTGAAAAAAAACTTCATGCCGAGTCATATTACCTATTTGATATTGGTAAGAATTTCCTCGGTATTCATTTCTATGATTCTTAGACGATTAGTTGAATAGCATCAATTTTTCTATCACTTTCGGGACGGGTGGTTTGAAGGGATTTTTATGAATTACACTCCTTTTTTCATTTATTTTTATTATTTTAGACTCATGCTTCTTCATCTTTCATAGTTTGTTACCAAGCCAGCTTAACTCGCTATGGCGGACCTGCAAGAGGTTGAACAGATTAAACTGTATAATGTGGGTTTGACCTCGTTCTCGCAATTTGATTGGAGCATCAGAGAGACCTTGTGGAACGTACCTAGTCATGCGTTCTCTGCCATATTATTCATGATTTCCAACATCGAAAAATTGACTTGGTACATTTCCAAACGTTTCGCCGGCATCGTCAGCGAGAGGCACAATATTTAACACAGAGTTACAACTTATCAAAGTAACAAATTATGAGCTGTGACTTTATGAACCAACTTGCTGAACAAATTAAATTTACAATGAGGAGGAAGGAGAATGAGTGACTACCTTTTCTTGATATTGAAGTCATTTGGTCCGACAGGATACTTAAAAGAAGGCTATTCAGAATGAAATCACATGCGAAAATAATCCTCACTTTCCACTCTCATCACGACTAAATACCGAAGCTCGGAATAATGAGGAGTTTGATCTTCCGAAGCTTAAGACTAGCATATACTGGGTTCTGGGACGAACTTAAATTTCAACTTTAATTTATTAAAATAAGGTCAGGAATCAGGAGGTCGTTCATAAATGGATATACCTGCCCTCCTGAGAACTGAGTCAAAAATCGCTACCATTGTTAGGAGAATGGAATATCAAGTTGATAACAAAGGAAACAACAACATTCTTCAGCAGACTGCCTACGCAACACAAGAAGATTGGCAAACTAGATTGCTCGGTATTCTATAGCATTCAATGCGGCAAGTATGAACATAAGTATATTGTTGAAACAAGAAGAAAAATCAACCTACGAATTAAGGAACACTAAAGACTCTGCAGAAACATGGTTACTGAAAGGTCTGATAGAACAGAACACGAAATCGACGGTAAATGGACAGCAAGCCTGAGTGTATATGATGAAAATACAATAAAACGCAAGATACGAGAAGCTATTGATATCCTGAAAGAAAGAAATTTAATAAACAGGAGTCTTGAATAAGGAAGGATTAGCTAAAAATTTGCTTCCTACCGACAAACAAGCTCGGAAGAGATCAGGGAATGGCAATATCAACAAAAAGAAGACTATCGGATGAAGGTAATATTTAGAATTTTAGGAACATAAATTACAAGAACACCAGATAGGAAAAATCGGAAACCAAAATGAGACGTCCGCAGCGAATCTAACAAATCATCTAGAACTATCACATTTGGGGGTCACCACGCGAGAAGCTAGGTCATAAGTAAGTCATAAACTCGGCGTTATGGATAGATGTGGCGGATACATTTGATAGCTAGCAAGTAGTCGATAAGTTTGATCATAGACGTTGCCCATGAATTAAAGGCGATACGACAAGATTTCCTCAGTGCACATGCGACACAGTGATAAGGGAATCTGCAGCGTAAAGTTAGGTTTTCATGCTATTGCAGACTTTAGAGGCTTGTTCAGTGAGGCTGGCGTCTACATGCTATTAAAGGCTTGAGGCAAAGTGTGAAACATAACGCCTCGGGTATCACGGATATGGTGGCAGAGCTAGAGTGAAATCACTGAACCATGCAGATAAGAGACATATCCTATGGAGCAATAGGGAGACTCTGATAGGACCAGGAAGAAGAGGATTGCTGATTAAACTGGAGCCTTTGATCAATACTACCAGCACATTGGGAAGGATGAGGGAACGAGCCGGGAGTGTGAATAGGTCTCAACGATGTTTAGATAAACAAGTAAGAAATTGCATTATTGAAGGAGTGATATAAGGGTATAGGATAAGTGAATATCCCAGGACAAAAGTAGAGATACCGCGACTCTTTAGCAGACAATTAGTCAGAGGATCTACTTCACTTGTCTCTTTAATGAGTTATAGTGAGGTTTCTATTTCTAGCAAAGATCACTGACGATGGCAGCGAAACTCCTGGGATGTACCAAGTACAGGGCCTCACTGGAAATTATCATATATTCTATGGATTCCGGACAAGGTGTGTCCCTCTAGGTCTTGCCAATATAACCAATTTGAGCAAACTAGCATTAAATAGAAGTTGTTTTACCTGGTTTTCACAACTTGGTCATATTGGTAGGAAGATTTAGAGGAACGCACCTAGTCCGGAGTCCATTGTCTGCATGATCATTTCCAAAGTCGAACCGTGGACGTGGTACATTCCCTAACGTTTCGCCAGCATCGTAGTCGGCATCGTCAATGAGTATCGCCATACTTAGCACCATACAACAACTCATCCAAAGAGACAAGTGAAGCTGATCCTTTGACCAAACGTGTGCTAAACGATTGTGGTATCTCCACTTCTGCCCTTGGTTATTCGCGTTTCCTGTATCATCCTATCATACCTTCATTATTACAATTTTAACCGTGTTTATTTAGATATAGTGTGGTGTGCTCCTTTGAGCGACATGAAACCTTCACACTCCAACTGTCGTTCCCACCCACCCCCCTTCATCCTTATGCAGGGAATAATGATCAGAGTCTGCATTATTATTATGCAGTCTTCTTTCCTAGTCTTATCCCAATCTCTCTCTTGCTCCGTAAAATCCGTCTGCTCTACCCCTTGTTCACCTATTTCACTCGACTCCTGCCATCACATCTGTCCTACTCGAGGCATTATTCGCCCTCATCTGCGTCTAGCTGACTAATCCGAGGCGCCACCCTCTGAGTGTCGTGGTCACTCCTTTGCTACATGGACCACGTCTCTGCTACAACAGACCTATCGTCAGCCAACTAGCTCCGGTCACCACCGTCTCTATCCTTTTTTTATCCCTAATACCAAGTCTATGATTTGTCATGCCCTAGTCTCTTGTGTGCCAACCCACAAACGTTGTGGTACAGATTGTTTTGATTTGGTTCAATGTTGAACCACGACATTTGTGGGTTGGTTCACAAGAGACTAGGGCATAGGAAATCATAGACTTTGTATTATAGATAGAAAGAGGATAAAAACAGTGGAAGCAAAACAGGGTGAATACATCTCATTACACTGATTTACTGGTAGTCTCGAAACCCTACTTACATACGAATATAAGTGACGTTATCGATTGCTATAGCAAACATACGTTTGTTTCATCGGCACTCCCACCAAAGAATATGATATAGTAGAGGCCTGAACTTCCATGAAACTCACTTATGCCCTGTGACTCAAGGGTACTCGTGGCAGTGTAGCCGAGTGGTTAGCGTGTC